GTTTTTGCAAGTGGTATAGGCATGGTAGCAATTTCTGCTCAACTTTGTTCAACCTTTGAAGAGAAATAGCTTATTCCATTTACAGTTTTATGACACAAATGTGTGAGAACAGAAGCAGTGTGACAGCATTGCAGCTGCACTCAGTTTTCTTCACAGAAGCTGATGCAGTTGTCTAGAGAGCTGGTTTCTGGTAAGTATCTTGACGGTATTTCTGTGGTGTGGCAGGAGGTGGTATTGTTCTGTGGAATTGACCAGAAACATGGTGTTTTAGTCTACACAGTTCTTCCTTTCATAGACTAAGTCAAATATAAAATGCTTTATACTTCCTTCATGGGGGAGATAGTGTGTTGTCAAAAGATGTAAAATAAATTGTATTTGAAACCTTTTCACTGTAGATTAAAAAATAAGTCAGGCTGGAGAATAGAACTGCCAAGATCTTGCTGTCCTCGTACAAATCCTTGGTGAGACAGACTGCACTTCGGGGATTATGGTTACTCCTGGACACCTCACCTGAATAAGGGCATTATTGAATTGGAAAAAATATAGAAAGGGACAACAAAAATCACCATGGGGCTGGAGCATCTCCCCACGAGAAGTGGCTACATGAACTGGGACTGTTCCACTTAGAAGAAAGATGAGCAAAGGCAGACATGATAGAAGGGGTTAAAATTCTGCATGGAGTGGAGAGAATGAAGGAGACATTTTTCTGCCTCTTCCATAGCGCTCAAACCTGGGACATCCCGTGAAAATGATTGGCAAAAGGTTTAGGACAGAGAAAAGAAAGAGTTTCTTCACAACATACAATTAAACGATGGCATTTGCTGTCACGGGAAGTGGTGATGGCCGCCAATCTGCATGGCTTTAAAGAGGGACTGGGCAGATTCAGGAGAGGGGAGGCTATCAGAGGCTGCCAGCCTTGCGGCCGTGCGCTACCCCCTTTGCCGGAGGTGGGCTGCCTGCATGCACCAGTTTGGAGGAGATTGGGCAGGAGGAGGTCTGGCACCCACCCTGCTTGAGCAGTCCTCTGGGCAGCTGGCTTGCCACCATGCAAAGTTACCAGAATAAATGGGGCCTGTTTTAACTGGCCAGGTGTTAACCACTTGTACGCGTTCTTCTTGTCCAAAGGCCTGTTGTGCTGTGGCACAATGCATAAACAAACATCTTTTCCATGGAATATATGGGCTGAGCAATGTAATCTCCCAGCTGTATGGAATCTGGTTAGTAACTGGCTGATCCAGTTAAACAGAATGCTTTCTTGAGAACAAAATCCCATTTTAAAATGCAAAACGGATTTAGCTTAGCCAGAAAGCAAAAATAAAAAGGGCTTCGTGTTTCTTCAAGACTTCCCCCACTGAAAGTATGACATGAAATTCAGGTCAGACAGTACCTTTGCAGAATGGGCAAGGGGCTTGTTCAATCAGGTGAGGCGAAATGAAGGAAGAAAGACTTTCCCCTTTTTTAAATGTTATTGCAGAAGTTACAACCCGCAAACATGCGATAGTTTATATTCACAGTAGCATTTCTAGCTCCTTTGCATTTTCTTTGGATTCCTCTTTAAAAACACCCACCACTCAGTGTTGCCATTTTCAAGCCTTTCATAGCCGCAAGGTTAGTTTTCTGTGATGGTTGGGATGTTTTCTGCAAGCAAAGCTTTAAAAATGCCCTTTCTGTAATGTATAGTATTCTGTGCCTCAGAAATATTTAAAGTGAGATATATTTGATTAAAAAATCAGCATAAGAAGTTGAAGGCCACAATCCAATGGGATTACTGCTTTTTAGATGGAGGGCTCAGATTGCCAAATATACAGAACCTGCCCTGCATAGAATTGGATTTGACACAGTACTCTTCACCTAGAGACAAAAAGGTTAAAAATGTGAACCAGAGGCAAAGGAGGGTGGTTTGAATATTTACCATGCAATTATTAAGGGGAGAGGAGCATATGACTGAAATTAAACCCTGCCTCTGTTTGAGGAAGTTGGGCATTGGAAGCAGTGTGCATTTTAGTTTAAAACAACAGGATAAAAATGAGCTGTTGTTAGAGGAGCAGTCATGCCTTGAGTTCCTTGGAAGACAAAAGGCATGATATAAAGGCAACAGAAGCAGAAACAACAACAATAATATAATAGCAGAAATGATAACAGTAGAAATTTATACTAAATATTACAGTGTATCCTTCCTCCTTAAAGGAAACCCTCCTGCTCAGAGTTTCAGCCATCCTTTTCATCCAACTGAGCAGGCACAACCCTGGTTAGGCTGTTTGGGGCTTGTTTGCTTGTCTCCTTAGTATTTGTTTTCATGTCTGCAAATCTCAGGGTCTAGAAAACTAGCTGATTCTCCCATCTTTTCTGTGTTTTGCTGACCATCCCGGCATCACTCCACCAGAATTGGCTAATTAGAAGGAGTGATGCAATTATAAATACATAGGGAAATACAAAGTTTGTACCGAACCAGATATAAATTCTGTCATAATGCTGGCACTAATATTAGGTAGATTGCCACTTTAAAGACACATTAAGCCCTGGATACACCATAAAGAAATCATGGAATGAAAATTAGCAAAGCAATAATGATAGAGGAATTACACTGGCCATGTAGAAAGAAGAAGGGGAGGAGGAAATTACAGCTGACTTACCAGACTTTACCGAAGGCCAAACTGTCAGCTTGAGCAAAGTCACCATCTCATGGTATTCAGCCTTAAGAAGAGGTAAAAGGAGTCAGGAGATGGCTTGCAGATAGCTTCTCAGTTCCTACAATCAGAGATTCTGGAGCTCAAGTCTAGCATGTCATAACCTGTCATTTTACTAATCCCAGATCTGTGGGAACTAATTGCAGTTACCTAATGGTGAGGTATGGCTCTGAGCTCAGTGGGAGTTCACTCCACCACCCCACCTTTTTGCCTTGACATGTTCTAGCCATAGTGAGAGGCAGTCACTGAAAAAAAGCTAAATTCTAGTAAATTTTATGGACTTTTAAGGATGGCAGAAACCGAAGTTCTAAAGACAACTATGATAAAACAAAACGAGAGAACTGGAATTCTGCATGTGCACACCCTATTGAGAAATTGCAGTGTTTGCTTGTCTCTAGGTTCTCAGAAAATAGGTCATCATTGCTAATGTAAGGCACAGACATAATAAATTCCACTTTTGTGTATGTCACTACTGCTTACTTTTAAGCATGGACTTTGGGAAATGTGTTGTGCACACATTCCATATGCTGGAAGTTCCCTTAAGTCCCTATGTTTCATCTCTATCTGAGGTAAACTGAAGTATAAATACTAATATTGAGATGATGGAGCCTCACACAATCCTATTTTCATCTTGTAGTTGATCCAGAGCTGACTTTAAACCACCATCTGCTTCATCAGCCAAACCCATGTGGGAGAATGGGATTTGTATGGCCAAGCTCCATTTATTAGAACAGCTTTTCTAGTGGGTGATACTCAAAGAGTCTGGCACACTCCTCAAAGCCAGGATCAGCAGTCTCCTTTTAAGGTGCCAGCTTTTCGCTGGGACCATAGAAGTGGCGAGGCATCTGTGAAGGTTTGTCTGACATACAGATGCTCTCCCAGTGAAGCTAAATCAACCTGCTCCTTCCACCCTCTTCTTGAGCAGGTAGCAAAACGCCCTTTTCTGCTATGCAGAAAGTAGACAGTCTTTGGCAGACAAGTAGCTGAAAAGTCACAGTCCCTGGAGAGGAACAAACAGGATCTGCAGATGTCTGTTTCCTGCAATTTTAAAAAAGAGTATCTGGACTGGAATGAAAGAGAGCTTTGCACATACCATTTCGAGTTTCAGCATTATTTTTTCCTCATAGTTTTTCCAAGACAGCAATTCCATGTATTTAAAATGAATTAAACAGTCTGGGATGTTTAAATGACACCCTCTTGCTGATCACGCTGGTCATCCACAGGTCACTGTCCCTCTGGTGGACTCAGTTCTCCACCCACCACCGCAGGCCAGAGATATCTGCCAGCTCTCCTTTGTTTACATGCTCAGTTTGCACTGGATGAGAGAAAGGTGTTCAGAGGTCCTTATTTTCACCAGGGGGTCCTTCTACACTGGGCACTTTCAAAAGTAACCAGAGTAAACTGGTTACTCATCCATCTACAAAGACAGATTAAGTTGATTTACACGAAGTTTGTTCATGTAAATCAATCAATCCAGAGGTATAAACATAATTGGCAAACATGCATCTTAAATTTCCCAGCAGGGAAAGATGTTAGCAACATTATTTTAAGTAGAAAAATGGTATGCAGAGAAAGAACCAAATATGCTTGCCACTTGTCCAAAAATTTCTCCTCCCAATTTCTTTTTAAAAATATTGCTAGCAGTATGCCAGTGTACATGTTTGCATATAAAGTGCAGTTAGTGCCTAAATAAAACACATTTGAGACAAAAGTGGTGTCTGATTTGAAAAATCTTGCTCCCCAACAGCACAAAGGAAGGAACTATACAAGGAGAAAAAGCAAATGTTCAATTACAATACATCCATCCATGTAGGAATTTAAATACAATCTTCACAATCACAAATGGGCTTTCCCCTGCATGGTCATGAGCTGGGAAACAGCAGTCATGTCAAGACTTTCTAGTCCATGTATACCATCTATACTTGGGGGAGTGGGGGAGCCTTTGTGCACCCAATACAGAAATGTTGTAGCGTGCAAAGAGGCCTTGAAGCAAGTGTACAACCTTCTGTCAGAAGGATTATCTGAAATTCGGAGAACTATTTCAGCACAGCAACTGTGAAAGCTGAGTTGCCAAACACACACGAGCTCTCTGCAGCTGAATCTACCTCCCATCCCACATCTTTAGAACTCCTGGAGTCAGGCTTGGGCCAAAAACCTTTCATTGGGGGCATTCCTACCCACTCTTTCCTCTCCCATGTTCTTCATTGGAAAAATAATTTCACTTTGCAGCCTCATGTCCATAACAGAAAACAAACAAACGATAGCAGGACTAGACAGGATAGTGTGAAATGAAAACATTACTCCAGTTAGAGATGTGTTTTACTGGAATACTTTAATTGGTGCCTCATGAAGAAAACAGCTGAAATGTGACTTGGTATCTTGTAACATGGTAAACATCTTCAAATATTCTTTGAAGAGAACAAAATACCTGGAAGTGGGAAGAATCTGCAGCCAAAGGAGCATCATGTATAAAGCCTCAATGACAACAGTTTAGGTATCCTATTTCTTGAGGCCTTCTCCTTTGGTCATCCATCATTAGTTGATGAAGATGCTGGCCAGACTGCTTTTGGACAGAGTAAAGACTGTTTCTTCATAATTCATCATCAACACAAAAGAAAACTGGCTGGAACAAGCAATCTGCATGGTAGCGGCACTGATCTGGCATTCAACCTCCATTTACTTATTTCCAATCTGCCTGATAAAGAGTTGTTATAATTCCAAAGCTTTGGGTTGGTCCACTGGAGAGATTGGCATGATTTGAGTATTGCTCAGCTGGGGTTGGTAAAGACTTAAACTCCAGTCACTTAGCACCTGTGCAAGTTGAACTGTAGGAGCTGAGTAGGTAACCAATCAATTTAACAATTGTCTGTTATGTTTGCAAGAAACCAGTTTATGTCAATGACAAAATAATCCAAATACATATTAGTTTTATGGCATAATAGAGTATGATCAGAGCAGTATTTTCTAAGAGTCCTACACAGTATTTAAAAAATTACAGCATTTGGCTTTAATAGTGTCAAAATAAATATATTCTCTCTTTCTCTCCCAGTTATGAGGTAACAAATGTGCTTGAGAGAGCCATGGGTTGAAGAAAATAATAGTTAAAAACAGTTCTATGATGTTTTAAAACAATGGGACCAGCCCGCTCTGTAGATCAATGAACAAGTCCCCGTTTGTGTAAACATAATTCTCCAGGCATGTAGCACTTGGTTGCAGGGGATGCCAACTCCTGCGGCAGAGCTCCTGTGACTTTAACAGCTGCAGGACAGACAAATTATTCAGGAGGCGATCCAGTTTTTTCTTATGTGGAAATCCATCAATGGGGGGGGGGCAGGGGGAGCAAATGACTTTGCATTCTAAATACTTTACCTAATGTGCAACTGTAGGATGATTCAGGCACCCTGCCAGAATAAATGCTGGCAACCATTTCTAGTGGGAAGGGATTTCTATAAAAAAGGGGGGGGCAAGATCACTGCTGATTCAATATGCTCACATTTACTGTATGTCTCTTCTCCCTCTTTGTCAACTTAGGTTTCTGTTGCTGTTCCTGGCAACAGAATTTTCTGAACAATTTTTGAGCAGGAAGTGGATAATTCAACTTGTAGAAAGGAGCTGCGTGACCTAAGGTCAGTGTGCCATAGATGCAGCTCTTTCACGTGGGAGGTATGCCTTCTTTACAGCAGAGTTTTAATTTACTAAGAGCTTGTCAGTGAACACTTTTTCTTTTTATTCTAGAAAAGGTCCACAATCCCTCTCCTCCCACCCAACACCATTTCCTCTTTTTTGCAATCCTATTCCTGTTATATGTAAATTAGTGATAGGATTGGATTCTGGCTTAGACAAGACTAGAATGGACCCACCAAAGTGGGATTTAGGTTTGTCATGGATTACTTGCCTCATTCATTCCAGCTGTATCCTGTCTTTCCTCAAAAGAACTCAACAGTGGTATTGGTTATGTAGGGTCCTACGCATTTTCACCCGGAACTACATCCATGTTGAAAAGAACTCTTTCCAAGTACATGAACATATATGCATGTTTATTCAATACCACTGCATTCAAGGAAGCCTGCGCCTAAGAAGTTATGTAGACTCCTGCTTTTGCAGTGAATTCCTATACGTGCCTACCCAGAAGAAAGTCCCATAAAATCCAACGCACAGGCTACAGTCTCAGGCTAAAACGCTATAGCTGCAATCCTTACGCAGGGATTAAATCTACTGAATTGACCGGGGCTTCCTACTATGTAGACACCTACAGGGTTGCTACTGTTAGTGTTGCAGGATTATGACCTTTGTAAACAATACCAAATCAAGGGGCTGTGGGGGAGGGGCTACATCTGCCTTTTTCTTTCTTCTCAGATGCTGCAACTCTGCATCAAACAGAACATTTGTTCAAAAGATCCATTTGATGGTTCTGCCTCTTTCACTATCCTTCAATGTACCAGAGCAGCCCAAATCTGTCTGTGCTTTCCCCCCTCGCTGCAGTGAGCTGGGCCTCTGGCTCATGAAAGCTGTCAAAATGATAAAGTAATCCATTGAAATGTAATTGGAATTCAGTGTTAAAAGACAAAGTATGCCTCCAGATGAATGTTATAATAAGAAGGTATAATTAAAAAAATCTTTTCCTGGTTATTGCTACAGTGTGTAGACCAATTATGAAAAGGTAACAAAATCTTATTCTAGCATAATGCTTAGAATGTAGCACCAGGCAGCAGCCGCTGGTCACAAACGATGCCAGCAGCTTGGATGTTACAATTCAAGTGCCTCAATACACAGAGTTCTTTTTTGATAAGAATACACAGGGGTGCCACACTCGGGTGGCCCAAAGGACCCATCCTTTCTGCCCCACTTCTGGAATCCCCCTGCAGAGGCAGTACATTAAAAGAACAAAGATCCAGCTCCTCCTCCTGGCACCACTGGGGGGGCACTCTGTGCACCCTCACACCCTACTGAAATGGCAGGGGACACTTTCTTCCAAACACACAAATCACTCCTGGAAGTAGCACTGCATTGTTCGTTCATCAATTTCATACATGGTGTTGATCTTGTTAACAAGAACCCTGCACGGTGCCAGGCCTCAAATGCCTTGGAGGTCTGTTGTACGAATCAGGAACAGTTTCCACAAAGGCTGGCTTCAAAGAGCCATCGTTAAGCAATATACACTGAAGCAGTATTTTTATATGCATCAGTTCACACCCCACATCACAGCGTCTCCCTCCCACCCAACAAGCAATATTTCTTAAGTTTAGTTTTTCATGCACACATAACCTTGTACCAAATCCTGAGATGGGAGCACAAACTTTAATCCAAATGAAACAGGGTCCTGCCCTGTAATCTCAACCTTTCATCTTCCAGTGTAGTTTCTCCATATATATATATATATAGAGAGAGAGACAGATATAGATATATATAAAATGAAACTTTCCAGAAGAATGGAAAAGAGTCTAATGGTAAGCCTCTTGAGAATCAGTAGTTCACTAGGACAGAAGCAGCTGGAAAAATCATGTTGTATTTGCCCGTCTTCTAGTCCCGCTAGAATGTTACAAAGCTGAGGCTGTGCCCTATTATACTGGTTCATGGTGCCTTCACTGGGGGCAGGCGGAGGCAGGGACCGGGGAAGAGCTGACATGCACAGATCTGACCTGCATCCCAAGTGCCAGCCAGCGCAATAGTACACCCCATCACTGAAAGAATAAGCAAACTGAAGAAGTCTGGAACATCATGGAAAGGTTATGCATACAGGCGTCTGTCTGATGCTCAACTGATGTGTCAAGCAGTGAATCGAACTCTGAATGTGTTTAATGGAATTCCAGTTTCCTTTGGTGCTTTGTCTACCGTTTCTTCTTCTGTTTTAAGGCCTTCCTGCGCTTCAGGATCATCTCATAGAGTTTGTCCATGCCCTCGGTGAGGCCCTCCCCAATGATGGCACAAGCCGGCTGGATGTGGTATGTCGTGGATGGGGTCAGCTCATGCAGAGCCAGCTGTTTTTCTATTTCTGCCACAGGCAGAGATTTGGGCAGGTCTTGCTTGTTGGCAATCACCAGCAAGGGAGTGCCTTGGTTCTCTGCAAACTTGGTGACTTTGTGTAGCTCCGTCTTGGCTTCTTCCAGCCTATCCACGTCCACAGAGTCCACAACGTAAATGATGCCATCCGTGCAGCGACTGTAGGACTTCCACAGGGGCCGCAGTTTCTCCTGGCCGCCTACATCCCAGAAGTGGCAGCTGATGCCCTTGGCGATGCCGTTGCTCAACTTGATCTTTTCTGTATTGAAACCAATGGTAGGTACCGTGTTGACAAACTCATTGAATTTGAGCCTGTAGAGCACCGTGGTTTTGCCGGCAGAGTCCAAGCCTAGCATGACTATGTGCAGCGACTGAAAGGCGGAGATGTTGGAAGAGATATTCCCCATGGTGTAGATGGATGGCTCGGCAACAGCGGCAAGAAGCTCCTCGCCTGCTTTGCCTCAGCCCTCTCTCCCCGAGCTGCCTTTACACCATCGCCGCTGGATGCTGGGCTGGACTGCAGTTAAAATGCAAGCTCACTACTAGCCATCCCTGATGCGCCGCGGGAAATCGGGAGCAATCCGGCTCTGCAGGAAGCCAAGTTGGCGATCACACTGGGGCGCGGCGGCAGACGGGATCAGCGCGAACAGTCCGCAGTCAGCATGCGCCCCGGGTCCGAGCGGCGGCCGATCTGGTCGCCATGAATCATCCTCCAGCAGCAGCCTGAGAAGCAGCCCCGAGGCGCCGCCAGGCTGTGCAAAGTCGCAGAACAAAGCCGGATCCGCCCGTAAATCCTCCGCCCGGCAAGAAGCAGGATCTCTCCGGTATCAGCTGCTCAGACGCGGGAGCTGAAAGCGCGGCTGCATCCCCCTCCGCGCCACGGACTCATTCATTCATTCACCGGTCCATCCATCCATTCTGCGGGCGGGCGGGCGGTGGCGTCCAGCTCTCCCTCGCCCTGGCCGTCTTCCTGGGGCGGGGAGGGCCTCGCTTCCTCGAGGACTCGCCCGCGAAGAAGCGCCGGGCGCGCCTTCCCGCACAGCTTCTTCAGCCTCCGGCGAAGCAACTGCAGTTCAATCCATCAAGCCGCTCCTCCCCTCCAGAGCGCGCGGGACACGCCCCGCCGGAGAGCGGCGCGGGGCGGGGCCTTAAAGGGGCAACGCGCAGGTCCAGCGGGACTCGCGGAACGCTTCGCGTCGAGAGGTGCGTGCTTCCAGGGCAGCGAAACTGCAGGCACTAAGCGGAGGTCGCCATCGCACCCATAAGAGGCGATCTGAATTTTCTATCGCTCCGTCCGTTTGCTGATAGCCTTTAGCTTTAAATATTCGGCGCATTTAAACAGCACACTAACCCAGCCTGCAAACAACCCACAGGACTTCCGATGGACAGCCAGGCTCACTGTGTTGCTGGCCCCTCCTCCCTTATCCCGTGGTCCTCCTGCCAGTATTCCAGGAAACACTGAAACAAACTCGCCCCCCCCCCACACTTCCCTCCATGATTTGCAAATCTTTTTCAGTTTACTGCAGCCTTTATGCATTTACCGTTTTTGTTTCAAAGATTCCAAACCTGGCTTGATAGCCAATTTTTGCAATTACTTTTAACATCAGCTTCAGAGTGGCCAAGTGGCACCTTGGAAAGGCTAATCATAGCTTCAAAACCTCTTTAAAAATTGTGCACATAATGCTTGCCAGTGTGTTGGTTCTGGGTTTGTTTGCACATTTGCACAGCTGTAGAGTGCAGCTGATTTTCTTAAAAAATAGAGTGAACACATTTGCACACATTGGGTGGTCACTTAATACTAAAAATTGTTTAGTTCTCATTGCCAGCTTCTCCAAGATGCCACTTGGGAAGTTTGGAGGGGTTGTCAGTGGTTGCCAGACCAGTCGCAGCAAAATCAGGTAGAGGGAAGGTAAATCGCCAAAAAAGTGATGACAAGCCAAAAATGGCTTGTCATCACAGTGGGAGACAATTATGTCAAAATGCCATTTGGGTAGCAGCTGGCACAGCTTGCAAACACAAACTAGAGAGTGTCAAGTGCCTTTCTTGTCAAGAATCTCACTAGCTGATTTCTGGCACCCACAATGGGGTCAGTTACATGGGTTCAGATGAAACAATGCCACGTTCATTGTGGGTACAACAAACCTTAAGTCAGGATGACTTGTTGTCCATGAACAAGCCACCCTGTGGGGATTGGCCCAAGTTCACCAGACAAGCCACCCATCATGTGAAGCAGTACAGTGTTGTTGCTTCCCATTGCCCAGAAGTGGTAAGTGATTGTGTCTGTCTAACAGCAAAGTCCCCCTTTTCACGATAGATTTTGTGGAGTCAGAGCTGAAGATACTCTTTAGCTGAGGTTGCTGAGACCTGGCTGTTGGTGCATTTTTGCGATGCTGGCTCTTCAACATCTTACTTGCTCATTGTCATTGTCTGGACATACTGTTTCTGCAACTTCTTACATTGCCATGAATGAAAAAGACGACACGTTAGCATTCTGGTCCAAGACAAGAGCTCAAATACAGATGAACCTGGAGTGAATGAGAATCGAACTAAGTCTTGTTGGAAAAGGTTGGGTGCAGAGGACATCCTCTTACATGCCGACATCCTAAGCTACGAGGGTAAGGAGATGCACAAAGTGCCATCTATGCAAAAAGGCAAGGAAGAGATTAAATGCTTAGTTCATCCAGAGGGTTGCATTGCAAAGAAAAATGGTGCATATCCTTCTATATTTCTAAGAAGAATTATATGCTGATTTGGAGTCAGGACCACATGAGTCAAGTTTCAGGTTACTTATTAAAATTATATAGGTAAGCTTGCAAGAAACAACTAGTTCAGAAAATAAAGATTAGCAAATGCATCTGATTGGCTAGAGCACTCCTAAACAAGAAATGTGAACATCCTGTATTGGCCAATTCATCTTTAAATTAAGGCAGAGTTCAAAAGCTGAGGGAAGCACATTTCAAAAGAAATCTAATGAATCATCACAGCAACATCAGTAGTTTACCAGAAAATTTCAGATATACGAACCATTGAATTCAGTGTTGACGCAGTTGCAGTCTTGTCCTTCCCCCACAAGTTTCAGGGGGGCTTTCCACTTATTTTGCTTTTTTTAAAAGCACTGCATGGATGCCCATCCATTTCCCTTGTTTTAAAGGGGAAAAAATTACATACAAAACTGCTGCATGGATCAGAAGAGAGATTTCTTGGTGATACCAGAGGGCCCAGCCAGTAACTGCCATGGACAGCCAGCTTCTGCTTAAAACTGGTATAAAGGCAGGTTGCTTACCTGTAACTGTCATTCTTCGAGTGGTCATCCATGCATTCACACATATATGGGTGCTGCACTTGAGCAGTGCCTGTTGCCAGGAAGATTTAACAGCTTTAACGGTTTTGGTGGGAACGCCGCATCCCTCCCCCCTATAGTATAAATGGGCAGAGTGCCTGCCCTTCGCCAGTCAGCAGAAGACCCCCTGTTCACCCTCAGCTGGGAGCGGCAAAGTAGACTGAGAGGAATATATTAAACACTTTTGTATGCCGTCCTATTATACAAGATCTCAGGACGGCTTACAATATTTAAAAGGACAATTAAAACAACAATTTCAATAATAAAACAGAACAAAACAATAAACCAAGCAGAGCAACTAAACTTAAAAACTATTAGAGTTTAAAATACTGTTTAAATAAAAAGGTTTTGGCCTGGTGCCGAAAAGAGTATAAATAAAATATACCCAGTCACTGACACCAAAGTGGGGTCGGTGGGTGGGTTGTGTGACTGCACGGATGACCACTTGAAGAACGACAGTTACAGGTAAGCAACCTGCCTTTTTTCGTCACGGTCTCCACACATCACACACACATATGGGTGACTAGTAAGCTTACCCCACCCGGAGGTGGGGCGGTGTCACCACTGGAGAACTGTGGACAAGTCGGCGCAGCCAAAAGAGCAGTCCTGCCTGGCCCTGACATCTAAGTGGTAGTGTCTCGTGAATGTCCATGGAGTCGACCATGTGGCTGCTTTGCAGATGTCGTGAAGTGGAATGCCCCCACAGAGAGCACAGGAAGCGGCGACAGCCCTTGTGGAGTGTCCTTTTGGAGTAACCGGCAAGTCCAGCTTGGCGAGACTGTAAGAAAGTTCAATCATTTCAACGATTCATTTTGAGAGTCTTTGAGTCCCTGTGGGCACTCCTTTGTCATGTTCTGAACATTTGATGAAGAAGCATTTGGTTTTTCTGAATGACTCAGTTCGGTATCAATAGAAAGCCAAACACCTGCAGATCTCAAGGCTGTGCAGAGAATGCTCTATCGGTGTTGATGGTGCAGGGAAATATGCTGGTAGAACGATGTCCTGATGGAGGTGAACGGGCATTGCAACCTTTGGAAGAAAGGCAGGGTCTGTGTGAAGGACTACTTTTTCTTTGTGAAAATTAAGGCATGGAGGGTCAGCGTGTAGCACACGCAGTTCACTGTCCCTTCTTGCTGATGTGATGGCAACTAGGGAAGACTTTTTCCATGAAAGAAGGCGGAGGTTGGTGGTAGCCATGGGCTCAAATGGAATTTTGGTCAGAGCCTGTAGGACAATGGAAAGGCTCCACGTTGGAACGACTGATCAGATCAGAAGCTGAAGGTTTTTAGTCCTCTTTTCTACCTATGAGCTTGGTGGGAGAATTCGGAGGAACCTCGATGATGCGAGATGGCTGCGATATAGACCTTAATGGAGTAGCGTTTGAGACCCCCATGGTGTAACGAGAGTAGGAATTGTAAGATGTTCTCAGTGGTGGCAGATTGAGGTAGAAATTGGTTAGCAGCAGCAAAGGAGGTGAAGTGCTTCCATTTGGTATTGTAGGAGCATTGTGTATTCGGTCGTAATGCAGATTGTAGAATAAACTGAATGGTCTGTCGGATTCGTAGACGTTGTCAGTATCGAAGTCTGTCCTGGGCAAAACGTTGGTATAGGGTGTATCACTGATGCCAGGAAAAGAGCTGTAGATAAGGCAGGTTGAGTTGAAGGCTCAACTGTCGGTCCTGAAGGAGAAGGTACTTTCGTCAGGTCCAAGGGAGTTGTTGGTACTGAAGAAGTGGAGGCCATAGTTGGTACTGAGAATGATGACCATATCAAAGATGTTGGCTGAGGACAGGATATCGAATGAGCCAAGCGGTAAGCTTCCAAGAGCGCAGATCTGGATGACAGGTATAGCACCTTGTTCCTTGATTAGAAGGTGCGGGATGTGAGGCAGATGCAAGAAAATGTTCTTGGACAGCTGAAGGAGAGTGAGGAACCAGGACTGTCGGGGCCACCAGGGAGTGATGAGGATGCCGCAAGCATTGTCGTGATGGATCATCGCCAGAGTTTTTGTTATCAGTGGGATTGGGGGAAACACATAGAAGAATTTGTTCCCCAGGAGATCAGGAGTGTGACCCCGCTCGAATCCAGGCCAATGCCCATTCTGGAGCAGTAGGTCCTGCAGACGGAATTCCTGCGTGTGGCGGAAAGGTCTATGGTCGGTGTTCCCCATAGCTGGAAGAGATGGCGGCAGAACTGACAGTCTTGTTCCCACTCGTGGGCTGTGGACATGTGCCTGCTGGGGGTGTTGGCTTCTTCATTGTCACTGCTGGCTAGATAAACTGCTTGAGGGGTGATCCTGTGGGCAATGCACCAGTTCCACATGTGAAGGGCGAGGTGTGCTAATGGGACCGATCTCATTCCACCCTGCTTGTTGACATAGAACATGGTCACCACGTTGTCCTATGCAATTTGGACCATGTGACCTTGTAGAACAGTATGGAAGGAGCGTAGTGCCTTGAAGACTGCTATCAATTCCAGGTAATTGATGTGTCTGGCAGTCTCATGTCCATGCCAGGTGCCTTGGGTCCGAAGGGACGTGCAGTGGACACCCCATCCAGTCAGGGAGGCATTGGTATAGAGCATCACGGTCGGTTCCGGTGGATGGAATGGTACTCTGCTAGTCAGATTGGTGTCGACAGTCCACGAGGACAGAATTTGGAAGACTGAGTGTGGAGGCTGTAAGAGTCAGTTTGGTTGAT